AACAACAATATGAATTTAGGAGTACACTCCAGCAAATATTCTGAAACAAAGCTGTGTGTGTGTGTGTGTGTGTGTGTGTGTACGCACACACATATCTCACACAGTTCTTTGCAATCTAATAGATGCAACAAAGGGGCAAAAAGGAACACAGATAGGAAAAGGGAACAAGGTACATTAAAGCTAACCAGGTGGAATGACCTCTGGTGGAAGGATCAAGATAATATGCTGGCAACAGTATTCAGGTACAATGGTACCTCAGGTTACAAACACCTCAGGTTACAAACACTTCAGGTTACAGACTCCGCTAACCTGGAAGTAGTACCTCGGGTTAAGAACTTGCTTCAGGATGAGAGCAGAAATCGCATGCCGGCGGTGCCACGGCAGCAAGAGACCCCATTAGCTAAAGTGGTACCTCAGATTAAGAACGGTTTTAGGTTAATATTTTAATATTTTAGTGTTTCAATATTTTAATGTTGTATTGTAATCTTGTTTTTAAGTTATATTCATTCAACTTGTTTTTATTATTGCTTGTTAGCCGCCATGAGCCCAGCCTTGGCTGGGGAGGGCGGGTATAAATCAAAGATTATTATTATTAAGAATGGACCTCCAGAACAAATTAAGTTCATAAACAGAGGTACCACTGTACTATTGGAAGTCACTCTACTTCCTAGACAGAAAGTACAGAAGATGACTAGGACTGGAGCACTGAGGACCTGCAACAAGAAAGGAAGAGGGAAAGGAAGAGGGGGAAAGCTCCTATTGACAGATTTTGAATGTACACTCTTTAAAACTCTTTAAAACTGGAAGAAAACCATTTGTGGATAACACCATGGAATGTAAAGAAATAGAAGAAATCAAACAACAGAGGGTGGGCATGGCAGAAAGGTCAGAAAGACTCAGAACATAATAAAGCCTTTTGATTTGAAGGAAGTTTGATAATGGCAATTTATCTGTGCCCTTATCTGTGCTGTGGGCAATTTCTAAATTTTAGTAGAGCAGTTGAAAGAGACCAGGCAGTGGTTATACTCCAGGTTTGGAGGTATGGTGAAAGAGGAAGGTGAACTGCCCAAGAAAAAGAAATTAAGGGACTTTTGCAAGAATTGGGGGAAAACAACAGAACCCATTTGGAATGTCATCATGATCAGTCCTTTTCCCATGAAAATGCTTTACAGTGTTTTCCTTACAGCATAATCCTATACATGTCTACTCAGAAGTAAGTCCAACTGCATTCAGTGAGACTTACTTCCAGGTTAGTAGGTATATAGGACTGCAGCCTGAATTAGAGCACTTGGAAAAGATCACATTGAAATGGATCATCTGAGTGGACCTCACAGGAATGATCCATCCGTTGAAGCTGCTTGCTGATGGGTATTTCCTGCAAAATCCATGAGGATTTTCTGTTATAACACATTCACATTCTCACACTGATGAAATCACATTGATTCCATTACTGTGTGTGTTTGTGAAAGAGAGAGAGAGGGAGAGATGATAGAGAAGAAAGTGTAAAATTGGAGGAGACATCAGTGAAGAGTCAACAGAAAATACTACCATGGGTATGACTCAGGAAATTTGACGTAAAGCAGAATGATGAATTCAGTGAGCAGACAGATAATACAGGGAAGACTTATTAGGTGAATCACACTTGAAAAACTAGCCCTTTTATTGACACCTGAGGAAGAGATGGACTCCACTGTGTTTAGATACTGAATTCTCTCCAAAATCCAGACCAGCTGCCTGGTAAGATTGGATTTCTCCTTCATTCAAGGACGTTATACCCCCATACTGGATACTCCTTGTTGCAAGCCACTCCAACTGCATAAAACTACAGATAACAGTGTTCTGTGGGGAGTGACACTGGGGCAGCCATTTAGGGTATCAAACCAATGCCCTTTCCTCACAGTGTTGGAGGATGTGCCAATAGATTCAAAGCACTTGTCAATGTTCCTCTTTTCTCTTGATCATGGCTCTAGCTGATTAAGTGCCAAGACTCTTTTGATTACTGTGCTCACCAAATATATGGTTGCAAACACTACAGCAGGGTGCCTAACCTCCAGGTGTTATTGAATTCCCAACTCTCATCAACCCCAGCCAGCATGGCCCAATGGTCAGGGGTGATGGAAGCTGCAGTCCGGCAATATCTGAAGGACTCCTGGTAGGCACTCTTGTCCCTAAAACTTTTTCAAAAACCTGAAATTCCATATTTCGCAAAACATTTATCTCTTTAACCAATGATAAAACTGCTTACCTTTCTAAGATTTTGAGGAAGAGGGGATAAGAAGAAAGTTATGCTTTTTCCTTCCAGTAGTTTTGATTGCCTGTCCCTGCTCTATTGGTCTGTAAATTGTTTACAGTATCATGAGCATGCAAAATGTTGACAAAAGAATCAAATTCTGTTCTTCTCCGCAAAATATTACTTTTACATTAATAGCCCCCCTCGTACTGGGTTTTAGATGCCCTGGGCAGAATCTCCTGTTAAATTCAGACATTTTTTCATCTCCCACAATGTTACAAAAAGCTCAGCAATTACCATTCATATGAAGAGTAACTACTTAGCTATGTGCTTTCGGGGGCTTTTTCAGTGCCTTTGCTAATAGGCCACCTTTATCAGTGCTAGAAAAACCCCATAGCTACTGTGTTCCAAACAAAATCCTTGTGGCACTGATCCCATTTAAAACAAGCAGCGGCAGCAGAACTCAGAACCACTACAATACTGTATCTCTTTTCCTGTCGCCTTCCACACACTAGAATGAGAGAGCAGAGCAGAAAGGGGCACAGGGGTTTACGTGAATCCTACGACGTCAGTGTGGATCACATTAACTGCATGTTCTTATAGAGATGAGAAGCCAAACGTGTGAATTGCATGTAAACATCACCGTGGCTATTCATGAGGTTTGTGAGAGCTTCTTGACCCTCCGTGTGTAAAATCTATTAATTCTGCATGCTGGGATTGCTGAGAAAATGTATGAATAAATGCAAGAGGTTAAAAAAGAAAGAAAGAAAGAAGGAAGGAAGGAAGGAAGGAAGGAAGAAGGGAGGGGAAGGGGGAGGGGGAAAAAGAAAAGAAAACCTAGCACTGGAAATTTTGTAGCTCAGAACCATGTGAATAGGAAACTCTGAAGAAAGGAAGGTTAATATTAAGAAGAATTAATACACAGCAAAATTAGATCAATATAAAAATGGATGTACACATCAAATGTTGACCATTGTCTTCTCCTTAAAAATACATACATACATACATACATACATACATACATACATACAGCAAGTTCTGAAGGCCGATAGCACTTATTGTGAACTGTTTACAGAATCCAGCCACTGACTAGAGTACCTACATGGCAAGAGTGCCAACTTGGCCCTGCGACTGTGGGAGCCCGGAGCTGTGGGTGCCATGCAGCGTGCATGGCCCTGGTACTGAAATTTGTGGGTGCCTTCATGGGGAATTTTGTGGGTGCTTGGGCACCCAGGCCCCAGGAAGTTGACACCTATGCTACGTTGCCATCTAATGCTCCCCAAGTGGATCCTCAATGCAACTCACTATTTGCCAGGTGGGTCCACTGCATTCTAACAGCCTCACACATGTGGCTATGTAGCAGTTCAGAGAACTTGACACAGATTCCAGCTTACCAGTGGAGTAGGGAATCTGCATGCATAAAACAGCTGCTGCATCTCCCCCAACCTTTACTGGATTCTGCTACCTGCAAGCAGAACAAACACATCCATCCTTCATTTACGTAGGTCAGTACTGAGTGCTGTTGCACATGGGTAAGCTGAGCAATACAAGAAGCCGTATGTGCGCATCAGTGGGGAAACAGAAACTGTGAGCTGATTAATGTATAAGGTACTTACCAATAGAGTCACATGATGCAAATCAGGGTGTTCATCCCCATTTATATACCGGTATATATATATACCGTGTATATATATATATATATATATATATATATACACACACACACACACACACACACACACGTATATGGGAATACATACCCTCAGGCACAAACTGGAACTACAATACATGGCTTAACCACAGACACAATCACGTTACAACTCATACACAATATCTTCTTGCACTTAATTTTCTCTAATGAGGGCCTTGTAGACTGTCATCCCTTTCACCACTGTCATACATAAAAGTCCCAGTTTCAAAAGATAACAGATGTTACATGGATTTTTCAGCTGCTAAATCTTGAGTAGAATTAGGTGTAGGAAGACCAAAAGGTACAACTCTTGTGCAATATATATGTAGGCAAATGTGTTTAGAAACTTTTTTTTTTTTTTACATTTCAGCTTATATGTGTGTGTTTTAATGAGCTGAATTTTTAAACAAAACACCTAGCTGGCTTTTCCATTTTTATAGAATCTAATCTATTCAGTCCATATATTCCCTTCTACCTAAAGAGATTGCGATCCAAACCCATCTCACACTGGGCTATGGGGAGTTTGCATTGAGCAGAGCTTCCCTCCACTTGCTTCTGATGTCTTATCCAGCTTTCTTCCACCCACCAATGGCAAAAGAACTCGAGCATCACTCCACTAGCCAAGACCTCCCACTTCCACCTTCCACTTCCACTCAAATGGGCAGGCAAAAGAGCTGCCAGTGATACCCCTGGCAGCAGAGCCCTGAGGGATTCCTGGAAATTGGGTGTTCCAAGGACACTGCAATTCTGAGCTGACATGGGGTCTATGGATCATAAGATACTCTCTCAGCCAGTGCTGGTGAGCATCAGGCCTGATGTGGGCCCAAAGACTGTACCAGCCTGGAACTAGTACACATATAAGGCCCAGTCTGCCTGACCACACCTGCTACTGCCACCATGAGTGGCTGGAATGCAGGTGCAGTGGTGGCCTCAGTACTCCACAGACCCTCAGAAGTGGCAGCAGGAAGTTTGCGTTGTTGCCTCTGTAAGACAGCCACATTTTCTTCACTCAGTCCTAGCAACAAATTAATCATCCGGTCATTTTATTGCTTACATGTGTTATGAGAGCTTGCAGCTTTGGTGAGTTAGATTGAAATGATCACTTACAATTTCTGGAGTTCAAAGGCTTCATTCATGCAGGAACAGATTTATCTTGGTTGGAGAGAGAGAGAGAGAGAGAGAGAGAGAGAGAGAGAGAATAGCAGACATCTTGTCTCAACAAGTTGGGAGAAATGGCTCAGTGGGGTTAACAGACAAAGATGCTACAAACAGGTTTACTAGACAGTGTCCTCATGTGGTTTAAAGTAACATGTGCATTAACTAGAAGCTCAGAATAGAAGGAAATGCTTTTCTCCAGCTTAAATTATATAAGCAAAATAGACTGTTAATAAATATATCTACTATGTAGCTTGGTCTAATAATAACAGAGTGGGTGGCAAGATCTACATTTCTGTTCCCTTGATTTAAGTATGAGGGACTGCATCAAGGACCACAGACTCCGACCACAGACTCTTAATCAAGTCCAAAGATTAGGGTTAAAGATGAATATGCAAAATTTTATATATATTTTTAATTGTCTTCAGTGAGGCCTACTCCCAAGTAAGCATGCATGGGTTTGCAGCTGTAGTCCCATTAAAGTCCAGCTTAAGTTCCTAGTTTCAATATTATGCATAAACTTTCCACAGTGTTGCCCCTCAGACAAAGCATTCCCTTTGCACAATAACCTGTCAGAACCTCAAGCATAAACTGGAAGTTAAAAACATGTAATTATAAACACAAGTCTTAGCCAGGTCATGTCCTTATGAACACAACACTGACTTCATAGCTATTGGGAAATGAGGGAAAATCTTCCCAGAGTGGAGCTTTAAAAAGCTTTATATCACAGTCACAGTCAGTGGCAGAACTATACTAGCCCACAAGTTCTTACATGGCCATGAATGGATTTTCTCTGAGCTGAAGGTCCTTTACTCTGAGCTGTAAGACTCGTTTGTTTATTTTACAGGGTAAAGATTAATGTTACCATAATGTTAAATATTACATAGTTCTCTGCATACCAGGAAGTTTCCTTAAATTAAATAAATAAATAAATAAAATCTAGTTTTCATTGTTACTGCTTTCCAAATTTCTCAGTTTTCTTTTCTTTCACACCACTCATGAATACTAATAAGCACTTCGCACTTCAGCAGCTAAGACTGCAATCCTAAACACACTTTATCTGAGAATAAGTCCTGTAAAATGGGGCATACTTCTGAGCAGACAGGTATAGGGTTGCACTGTCACATGTTTTACTTCCCTTGTATATCTCGTGCAGTTGCATACACATGTTGTATAAGACTGAATTTCCAGAATATGGAGTTCTGAGGAATATATTCCCACATTAGAAAAGAGAACTGGCTGTTCACGAAACAAAAGGTGCAAGGCACCTCTGTAAATTCCAAATATGAAGTCCCTAAATGACCATGTCAAATGGCATTGCTCTTGAGGTGGATGCAGGATGCTTTATATTGGCCTGACATACTCATTTTTGCTCCAGAGACCAACATCAAACTCCTCCACCTCCTTCTAAGTGGTGCAAAGGTGCTTTCTGTCAACCCCCTTAAGGTGAGAAGGGAGTCAGGGAACTTGGTCCTTAAAGAGTTTTCTTTTCTTCCTGTCAGAGCAGAATAAAATGGCAAGAAACGGGATGAGGGATAAACTGCCACCAGTTAAAAAGAAGCAGACCGGGAAGGTGCCTTGTCACCATGGCAACGAGGCCAGGAACATTTCTGAAAGATGGGCTTTTTTGCTTGCTTTTCACCTGCCAATCTTCCTCTTCCCTCCTTCTCTTCCCTCAAATGTAACTCTCCCTCTGCAGGAGACACGCTGTGACATTTACACTCCCACTAATAAGCCGGCTGCATGATGGGCAAACTCCTTGGGAGAGCATCTGTCACAAAGCCCAAACAGCAAGGCTCTGCAGCTGAGGGAAAGAGTTTGATTCTCTCAGGCAGTTAGTGCAGGGATTGGTGCCTTTCCCTCCCCCCCCCCCCATTGTCTTCATGTTCTATTATTACTAGTGCTATTAAGTCAGGAGACTGTAAGAAAAAGCAGCAGGCATGGTCTTTTGGAGCCAAGAAGCCAAGGCAAGCCATGGCAAGCTGGAATTGTTTTCTTGCCTTTGTGGTGTGTGGCAATGACCCTGGTGCCAACATCCAGCTGGGAAGGAACTATGTGATTGCAAGACAATAGTCACTCTCCAGAGAACCTCTTTGCAATTAGAAACGCTATCCTTCTAGCAAAGAAAGCCTGAGAGCCAAGAAGTGGCAAGATGCCCGTGGAGCAGTTTCAAGCCTAAATCTACATTGTGACAACTGGATTTTTGACAAGTGCACACACACACACTCTCCCTCTCTCTCCTTCTCTCCAGCCAAGCTTCATTCGGCCTCATAACCCATATTTTTCATGCCATTCCACACACCCTGGCCTGTCTTGACTGTGGTAGCAAGAAGGAAAATTAGGATCACGGCTCTGAGTCCCAGTTGTGCCATGCAGCCTATAGACATTGAGCAGATGTATAAATGGCACTGCTGCTGATTGTACTTGTGTGGTAATTCAAGCTTGGGTGTATTTCCATTACAATTACATGCCCCCATTGGCAGCTCATTAAGAATCAAAGCACTGATGTGTGAATAAGTTTCTATCAGGAGAGCTTTGGAAATCTGAAAGAAGGAAATTTGAACCCCAACTTGCACACACAGCGCACCCTGAACATGTTATCTCTCACTCAATATCCATTTCCCCTCTCATTTTGTGTGAGTGAGGGGAAGGGGGAGGGACAAACAAAAAGCATGAGCTAATATTTACGCTTCTAAATGTGAAAAGAACATGATCAGATCTTCAAAGTGGAGACCGGCTGTCAAATATCCCCTTTCTGCAGATGGGCAACTAGTGTGATGGGTTTTTGAGCACCAGAATCGTGATAAAATAGATAATTCGAAAAAGGCTGGAATATTTACAACTAGAAAATGCATGAAAGATGAATCTGGATTAATGGTTCATCAGCATGGGAAAGGCTAGAGAAGAGTTGAGTGTGCACTGAGCTCATTTCTGGAGCAGAGATTCTTATTTCCATCTCAGAATTTTAGGGTTCTGAAGGACTGAGTAAGCCAATATAATAAAGGATCGCAGTCTACTAGCATTCACATTTCAGTGCATAAAGAAGAGAGGGGAGAACAAATACTCCATGCCAAAGGTATCTGCATGGTAAGCTCCATTGTCAGAAAGCAACACTATAATTTGAATTTATAGGTCATATAGCTTTGGGGTTATGATGAAGCTACAAAGAGGCTGTGTGAGGGAACTAGAAGTTTGCCTATAGATGAATACATTATAACTGATTATACTAAAAACTCACACCAAAATCGAAAATGATAAATAAAACACGAATCTGACAAGGGTGTTGCATTTCCACCTTCCTTTTGAAAGAACCACGAAAAGTTGCATCATAAAGTTGCCAAGCTTTTATCCCTTGAGATGGATTCTAACAACAGCAGAAATCTCAGAAAGCACAGCATATGTTTCCAGTATCCCCTGCAAAAGAAGAATTGGCTGTATCTAAAGATCACAGATTTGTGATTCAATCCATAGGCTTTAGCATTTGAAACATACACTTTGAACTAGCTGTGTTTTATTGAGAGAGAACTGAGTAGGTAAGCAAGTAAAAGTAAGGCAAGCATCCCTGCTGCTGAACCGGAAAAGAGGAGCAAGATTAAACATTTTAAATATATATATATTCCTACTTGTAAAGACCACTATCAGTTAATGAAAGCAGACAAACATTTTAGAATATGGCGGACATTTTGACACATATTTGCTGCATTCTGAATCATTTAGTTTCAGGACAGAGTATGTGTGTCGACTTTTATCAAACTTTATAATATTTGTCGGGTTTTATCTTACATTTACATTTGCCGGCTGCATTAATGACATGAACCTGATATTTATGACAGCCATGACAAAGTCCCTTTTTTATTTGAAAGGTGTAATATGGTCTTGGAACCATATTGCTGAAAATTCAGGAACTGACTGAGGTACACACATAAACAACACTGTTCTATGTTAAACTTTTATGATTCAATAATCGCTTGTAGAAATGTACCTCTGACTTAAACAGCCTATTCAAGCACTATTTACCTCAGGTAAACCCAGCAACCATCTGATATCTGTGGTCTGCATATTGTTAACTAGATGTGAAACTAGTTAACTAACTAAAACTCAGACTGAATCAAATGTATAGAATAGTCGTCACATTAGACACCAATGTTTGCTGTGCTGCTAATGCCTTTACAGATCAGCTTCTACCTTTGTAAAATAGGGAAGAATTATACCTATATATTTAACAGGGGCAGATTAATTACTGGGTGTTTTTAAAATAAGTTTGCAATCGACATCAAACACTAAAGATGACCAATAGGTGACTAATAGCCCTCCTTTATCAAAAAAAATTTTAATGCATCAACTGAACTTAGGCACATAATAACTGCTTTTTTGAATAGAAATCAAATGCATGTCTATGGCGAGCACCTTTTCAGTGTCACTGCAACCTGGATATTGCACAAAGGGGGAGGGCCATGTCAGAAGAGAATAAAGCAAGTGATTTTGATTTGTTGCTCAGCAACAGAAGTTGCGGGGGAAACAATCAAAGAAGAAAAGGAATAGGCATTTCCAAGAGAGTGAGTTATTTTAGGAGAGGAAAAGATTGGAGACTAGCAAAATGTCAGCTCACAGTAGATAACATTTTTTTATATCAATAATTGAAAGTCCCTAGGCATTTGAGGGCACATAAGTATTTAAGGATGATTCAAAACATCTAGTCCACACCTTTCCCAAAGAGTTGCAAAGCCACTGAAGTGTTTAATCAACTTTGTGTGTTCAGTGGGGGAAGAATATTCAGATGCAAAGAAGGGAAGTTGAAATGTCTTCTGTGTGTTTTAAAACAAGTGGTGGCTTCCCAGGATTACTGTCTCATATGTAGCACTTTGTGTCGTTGTTCTGAAGAATAGTGTTGTGCTAACAGCATGTTTTCCCCTCCCACATCCCTTCTCCCTTTTCCTTTCTCTTGTAGGACAAAACAAGTGCTTTGAGTCTCAGCAACGTAGCCGGTGTTTTCTACATCCTCATCGGTGGGCTTGGACTAGCCATGCTGGTTGCCTTAATCGAGTTTTGTTACAAGTCCAGAAGTGAATCAAAACGGATGAAGGTGGCAACACATTCACAGGCCTTTCACACCTTCTTTCTGATACCAGCCAGACTCCTAATATTCCTTTAGGAATGGATCCAGACTAGGATGGCTATTAGGGTAGAACGTCAATATTTAAAGGCCAAGGAAATGAATTTTCCCTGGCCTATTTAGTGTTCAGCTGTATAAGACCTGAGTAAGAGCGAATTTGCAAATAGTTTGTAGCCAGAATTAATCGTTGTGGGACATGTGTAGAAGCCTATGTTTCCAGCATTCTTAACAAACACAAAACCTAACCTGGTTTGAAACAGTTTAAGAACAAAAACAGGCCAGGTAATCTGGCTCTCTGTCCTTGCTAAAATGGGATTGCTCTGGGATAATTTAATCATATCTCGCCATGGCTATTCGATTGGTATTGGAAAGTCATTCTGGGGGGGAAAGGGATAGGGAGAATCCTTTGCTGCATCCCCAGCCACCTAAGTGTGTAAGGTCCATTTGATTCCTTTTGTTGCACCGCTGGGGAAATATCTAAGAGACAAGTTGCACAGGAAAGATCCACAAGTTTCAGGTGCACAATCCTTACTCAGGTGTGAAATTTACTATGTAGCCTTGAACAACTTGCCTTACAGAGCCATTACGAGGCAATTGTTCATCTAAATGACACAGGATACCATAACATTTGGGATTGCTCTAAGCAGCCTTGCATTGCTTATGACAGAGAAAATATTCTTAGACATCACAAAAGCAGGTCTTCAGGGCAGGTTCATGCTTAATGAGGTCACTTTTTGTGAAGCCTCCTGATGGTGTCACATTTAACCCATGCGAAGATTTCAGCTCTAAAATTAGCTCTCTGCCCCGTGTGGAAAAGTCATTGTTTCCCAATCCAATGAACCACCATTGAGTTTCTTTGCAGAAGCAGGGATATTTTATGATTTTCCATTCAGCTTTGTAATTCTGAATCAGTACTTTAAGTGCAGAATTGTTTACATTTGTAAGGAATTCCAAAGCCTTAGAGTGACATAGCCTTTGCCCGCCATCTTGGTCCCATGATCTGTGAACTCAAGACATACCCAAAGTAATGGTTGTGCATTTGTTGTCTTTGTTGTTATTCATTTTTTGTAAAGAAATTACACTTCTACAGATCATGAATACATAAAGAAATATCAACGCTCTCCTTCCAGCACTCCTCTGCCTTCTTCCACTCAGTTTCTCAACCCATTAACCACAAAATAAGAAAAGAAAGAAAGGAAAGCTTGTGCAAACCAACTCTTCAGGTGGAATCTGAACAGCAAATAACAGTCAGCTGACAACTATTTTAATTTGTACACAACTGTAGAAACGAATGCCAGATGGCACCAGGCTTTTCCTTTTATTAAAAGTAACTCTGTCCTTATTAACCAGGTATAACATGAATATATCTCACAGTTAATACACAAATGAGGAAACGGGTTTTAAGGTGCAAAGATTTTAGAGAGGCAATATACCTGTAACACCACAGCCACCTTGTGATATAGGTTAGGCTGAGATATATTATTGCTTGCCCAGGGACTTTCAAGCTGATTGGTATTGAAACCTGGTTTCTGATATTCATGCCTAACTGTCTATCAGTTGCACTACACTTCAAGTTTAACCTATACTGCTGGGGAACCTGTGGCACTCTAAAAGGATGTTGGACTACAACTCCCATTACCTCTGACTCTTGGCCAGGCTGGCTGGGGCTGATGGGAGTCCAACAACATGTGGAGGGCCAGAGATTCCCAAGTCCTGCTCTGTTGTATATGAAAACACCCTTCAAATTCAGTTTTTATTGTGTTAGGAGAGACAACTATGTGGAAAAGCTTATTCATTACACTCTTGTGATCTTTCACTCTTATCCTTATGACAATAAGCAATTCTGACCAGTAAAGGACTTGTGTGCCCTGAGAGAACAAAGAAAGTTTTAAGACTTTCTTCTACATCATGATTACCTCTACATCATGGTCAATGCTTATCACAATATTTACAAATTGGGTTCATGTTGCTAACCTTGCCAGCTACCCAAATGTCCTTCCAAAGTCGACTTCCTTGTTGCACTTCTTTCAGTTTGGGAGCTGGAAGCGGGTGACATGCTGAAAACTAGTGGGGAAGAGTGAGGCTTTGCAGGGGGAAAAATGGGAGGAGGGAGAAATGATTAAGCATCCGCTGGTCTTGTCCAGTCCAAATATCCATATTAGTGTTATGAAGAACACAATTTCCCCTAACCATGTCTTAAGTATATTTCAGATATGGGATAACTGAACTGTTTCCATTGGACCACCTTAAATGTTTTTTTTTAAAAAAAAAACACAGTGGCAAACTTTCTACCCTAAGATACGTTCTTCACATGTGGGTGTTTTGAGCAAGAGGGAAAATAAACTCTGATAGAATAAATATTAATGACTTTAAAAAATGTGTTTGCTCTGAATATGTATGCCTGCATAACTTGTTCATTTCTAAGCAGAATTGACAGGGAAGGGATCCAAGAGTACTAGGCTAGACTGAAGAAATAAAATGTTGTCTATTACAAATGCCCAGCCATTGCTAAGGACAGGGGGAGACCCCCCTTGTCTCTCTTAAAAAGGGTTTTTGTTTGATCCCACAGCAATCAATCAATGAAGCCATACGAACATCAACCCTTCCCAGAGCATCTGCGGCAGGAACCAGCAGTGGAGAAAACGGACGGGTGGTGAGCCACGATTTTCCCCAAACTATGCAGGAGATTCCATGCATGGGTCACAGCTCTGGGACACCCCTGGGAGCGACGGGATTATAATTACCCTTGATGGATATTCTGGGTGAGAGCAGGGTCTCCCTAATCCCAGCCTCTCCAGTGCTAAAAACCAAACCGTTCAAGAAGAGGGACAATGCACTGGATCTTTTAGAGGAAACCAGATTCATTTTCCTTTGTTTTTGTTTGTTTGTTTGTTCGTGTGTGTGTATGTGTTTATTTTGCAGTAAATCCACAGGCAGAAAGCATGACCTGTACTGCAATAAGGAGAGGGCAACTGGACTGAACAAAATTTGGAGACATCCCTGAATACACGGTTACAGGAACACTGAGGAAGACAGCGCCATTTTGTTTTTAACTTGGTTGTTAATAAGTTCTTAGTGTGTGCAATATATATATTTTTCTTACTAATTCCCGTGATGTCAGGGTGATCTCAGCCCTGCCCTGCTCAAAAGTTTAAAATCAGGTTTAGTTTGGGATGCAAACCATACATGTCTGCGCTACTAACAGTGAAAGGGGGTGGGTGGGAACAATTCCTCTGAGACAACAGGACTCTACTGTGTTTTAAAGTTGTTGCGACAAAGCTAACTAGGCCATCGACAGAGAATTCCACTATTGAATGAAGGATTTCTGAGGCAGTTGAAGCGGAAGCCTAACATGCAGAAAGGAGTAGGAAGACTTCTGAATGGGATGCCAGTGGTTGTATCTGGATTTGGGAGAGCCTAGTTAAACAGAGGTTAATGTGACCTGTATTCCTGAGCTTGAAAGTGGCTGTCTGAGTTTAAATGTTGTGAGTGTGGGAAATATCAGTCCCCAAAATGGGAATTTGACAGGCTACCACAAGGACAGGTCAGCAGCCGCCTATGACCATGGCTGTTTCCTCTAGAAAATGCAAAATATCAATATATCTATAGATCACATATCATCCCTCACTGCCTCACTGCCTTTTCAAGAGCCATTTCCTCATTCCCACACTACTGTAAGGTTTCCTTTCCATGGTGATCTTTGAGTAGAAAACCATTCACCACCAGTTAATGATAGACATCAGGGCTGTTTTGTATACATCTGGTTTATTAGTCTTTGTAAGCCAGATCTGATGGACATTCCATGGAATAAGTGGGCTACATTATATTTATGATGACCAAAAAGTAATAATTTTAAAAAGTTTCCACAACAAGATGCCAATATTCACCTAGATCCAGCCTTCCATAATAATTGCTTGCAACTGGCCACAGTTAAAAAGCAAAATCGGTTTCAAGAATCAAATCTTGGCCAGCAGTATCATTTGCAGAAAAGCCAAAAGACATGGTTTCCATCTCATCCATCATCGTGAAGGGAAGTGGAACACACAGAACTGACCAGCTGGTACCCTACTTGCTACTGATATAAAACCCAATCTCGCAATGAAACACTGAAATCCAGAGAGCTGTCCAAAGCACAAGACAACAGACTTGCTAGCAGTATTTCTCCCAGTCATGTGCTCCTTGACATCTACATTGAAACAAAAGCTTCATTTGTGTGTGCGTGTGCGTATGTGTGTGATATCACCACCGTGAACAGTGAACTACTCGAACAGAGTGGAAAACGTTGCCCTGAAGAAAAACCATTAAAAGGAAGTATCTCCTACTCCATCGTAGGTCTGGAAGAGGCCCAACCCTTCCTTGGCGATTTCCTGTCCTCACAGATGCATCTGCCCATGACTGGATGTTAATTCCAGACTTTACAAGGGGCTAAATCTTCCTCCAAGTGCCAGTGCAAACCCATCAGTATAACAGCAACTTGTTATATCTAATATCTGAGACCTGTGTGTAACATAAAAGTGTAAAATAGGAGACTGTAACATAGAATGGAAGCAGAAGGATGCGATAAGAGGCTACGGACTGAAATGGCTTTGTTGTGGGGACCATCATGATGTCGCTTTAAAAAATGTGTGTGTGTGACTGGCAAGTGGCTCTAAACAAATAAGCTACCATACATGACTTTCTGTGCTTATGAAGCTTCAAAAACTATTAAAGACTGGCTTCTAGGAACTGATTGTACCATTCAGCACTATGTTGTTCCATCAATTTCTTCCACTCATCTTAAGACGACATCTTCATAGGACTGGCAGCACAGAACCTGCAGATCCCCTTCAGAGGGCACAGCATGCCTAGTGCCTATTTTGTTTTCTCTCCGTGCTGCTGGAAGCCTTTTTGTCTTCATCTTCCATCCAGCTGTTTGTCATGGCTCAGATCTCAGCCTCCGATAATAGCTCTTCAGGGTCTTGTTCTCCGTGTGCAATTCTTAATTCTTATTTTTAATTTTATGTCTGCTTTGGTTACATTTTGAGTTTAGTTCTGTGTGT